CATTATTCAGGCAAGCAGGAGGGCAAACCCACTGGGGCTTTTGGAGGTGGCTGCCCGGAGGAAGAAAAGGCATGAAGAAGGGCCTGTGGAGGGTTGGTTGCCCAGGCAAGTTCCCCTTCTTTACCAGCTGGACAGCTGTGCTAATCTCCCAGGACAGGTGAGGATGCCTCCCTTCCCATGCTTGAGTCCGGGAGGACAGAGCTCATACACATGTAGGAGGGGACGGGATGTCATAGTGATTGTGGAGGTCAGGGTGTTTTGGAAGCCCGGTCACCAACTGCTCAGGGATTTGATGCATTTTCAGTTTGGCCGAGCCTCCAGAGTGCCCTTGTGCCAGTGCTGGGCGACCTGCGCTGGATTTAAAACCTAGCAGAGGTTATGGACAAGCTTACAGCAGTTCTGTGGAGGGTTTGAGAGTAGTAACAGGGGCACCTGGGTGGCTCAGTCGGTTAAGCGTCTGCCGTTGGCTCAGGTCCTGATCCTGAGGTCCTGGCGTCAGGCCCGTGCTCAGTGGGGAGTCTGCTTCTCCCTCTCCTTCTGCCTCCTCCCCTCCCCTCATGTTCTCTCTCTCTCAAATAAATAAATAAAATCTAATATATATATATATATATATATATATATATATATAATAACAAAGAGTTTATTGAGACTTGCTCTTCATGGACGGGTACACCAAGTGCCATCCTAGAAGCTTCACTTGCATTAACTCACTTAACCTTTGAACCGACACAGTATGATAGATAACATTTATGTCCCATATGATGGAGGAGGACACTGTTCTAGAGAGGTCACAGAGTGACTTGCTCAAGGTCTCCATGGTAGCAGCTCTCGTCATTTCTAATCGAAAGGTGGTCAGTGTGCTGCCCAGGGCCGGTCCACAGCGGAACTGGTAGGTGCTGCAGCGCAGGATCCTTTTATCCCCTGCTTCTGAAAGTGTCTCATCTGTCTGGGCACCTAGCAGTCACCCTTGACCCCTGTTGCATAGTTGTTGACATCGATTTTGTCTCCTTTGGGCCTGGGAATGGGAAGCCCAGCACTGCCGTGCAGAGAAGATTGGGGAGTGAGTCACGGCCTCTGTCTGTCTAGATAGATCAGGGTCTGCTGTGGTGACAGTCCCCAAATCTCGGAGGTTTATTTACTGCTCACACCCGATCCATTGCATATCTTTCTGTTGTTCTGTGAACCCCTACCGATTAATTGGAATATTCCTGGACACTTGGATGGAGGGACAGAGAATGTGATCAGTCTCCCCCTGGTTCTTAAGGCTTCCGCCCAGAAGCAGCATTTCGCTGGCTGAAGCAGCCATGTGACCCTAGTTATACGTACAGTGTGGGGCGAGGAAGAGGACTGGGGACATTTGGTGAACAGCACTGGAATGCCTCCCATCTGCCTGCCCTTGTGTCCTCCTCTGGGACTTGTTCTCAAGGCCTGGGTTGGAGTGTCACTGGAAACGATCATAAATTAAAGAAACACAGTTGAGGCAGAAGGTGAATTGAGGTGCCACGGTGGGGTGAACGAGAGTGCGCGTCAGGGTGATACCAGGTAGTCTGCGGAGGCAGCCTGCTTTCCGACCCTGGGCAAGTAAGTTATGGGAGTTCCTTGGGTCTTCTTTTGCTCATTCATTTATTTGTTCATGGACCCAAGGACTTGTGGTGAGTCCCAGGCCGTGGATTCCCCCCAAGCACACGTTTAGCTCCTAGCCCTGTGCTGAGGGCTGTACACTGGGATGATGACCCCGGATTTCTGTTACTGGGTCCTGGTGGCCTTTAAAGAGGGATGTTAACGCCCGTGGGAAGGGAAGTGGGCTTCTGCTCCCCATCACAGACCTGGCACCCCAGCCCTGAAGATTTTGGACATCCCCATGCTTTACCTTTGTGTGGCTGGTAGGGGCAGCCACCTTTTCTAGAAGCAGTAACAGGTAGGCCTTGCCCTTCCTCTTTCATTTCTGAGACCTTGGGGCTGAGCTTGTAGGCCTGCTGGCATGGAAAGGAAAGGTAACAAGGGCACTAAAAGATGGAAACACACGGAGAGCAAGTTTGATTGAGTGTGGGGCTCGATGGTTCTCTGGCCTAGCGAAGGGGTCAGAACCTCTCTGTTAATTGCAGTTTCCCACTTGAGTCACCCTTGTGGGGTGTTAAAGAGCTAGCTACACTATGGACCTTGCTTTTGTGCTTTGTCACCTGCATGGTCTCTGGTGACTTCCAGCAGGGCCGGGAAGCACTGGAGGTGGAGGTGGTGAGACCCCAGGTTCTTCTGTATTGGATTCACTTCCTGTCCTTACTCCTAACTCCTCCTTTTCCCTGGGCCTCTCTGCTTTCCCACCTGGAATAGAGGGCAAGGTCACGGGGGTTTACGGCAGTGGTCGTGCTCTTGGCTGCTCAGCAGAGTTGCCAGGGTACTATTTGGCTTAGGTGGATGCCAGTGTTCCTGGCTTGTCTTCTCTTCCATTACAGCAGTGTCCTCTCCGAATCAGTGTGGGGTATTTTCTACATCCATTTTCTACCTAAGAGCATATTTTTTGGTTCAGACAAGGGCAGGTGCCTGTGTTGGAACAGCACAGGCCCTGGCTGGTGGTGGGAAGTGTTCAGTGCCTCCGCCAGTCAAGCACGAAGACGAATAACATTGTCTGGCTTGTAGGGTAGACAGTGGAGGCCAGCTTCAGGTTGTATCTGCTTTCTAGCTGAGTGACTTAGAGTATCTGTCTTTAACACACACACACACCCCCCGCGTGATTTTCTCCTCTGTAATGAGAGAAGAGTCTGCCCTTCCTGTCTCTCATGGGGTTACTGGGAAGCTCCCGTACACTAACCTCAGGTCTGAGAAGCAGGACCTGAGCCCCAGGATTAGTGAGGCCCGATGCTCTGGTTGGGGGCTGCTGCCGTCACAGTGACAGCTCTCGGCAGAGTGTTCACCGGAGCTGATTCTGGGAACCCCACTTCCTCTACTCTTGGGCTTGGTGGAGTTGGGTGGGGCTGGGCCGGGCTCTGTCATGCTGTGGTTTCTCTCTTGGAGGCCTGGTCAGCTAAGCTGCAGTGGGCCTGGGCAGGGTGGGGTTAAACCCTTCACTTCTTGGGGTCTGTTCTGCTTCCCTTGCTGAGCAGCCAGGGAGAAGGTTTCGAGTCCTGGTGTCCATCAGCTGGATAACTGGAGGGACTGGCCCCGCTCTTGTTGGGCTCTGTCAGCGGGCGCCATGTGGCTGCGAGCCACAGCAGTTGGCTCTAAAGTGGCCTCTGGGATCGTGGGTGAGAGGTGAGTTCCTGGTGCTCTCGGAGACTGTGTGTTCCCTGGGATTTGGGAGAGCTAAGACTAGGCTTTCCTGGGGGTTAAGATTTGGGGAGACGCAGGCCAAGACAAGGGGCTGGGCAGGGTTTGAGCCCAGAAGAGGTCTGATGACCTCTCTGGGTTTTCCCTGACTATGTGTACCAGCTGCTGGGGCCTGTGCCAAGCTATCTGCAGGGCCCAGAGAGCTTTTTAAAAGAGAGGCTTTGAGGAATTCCTAGTCCTGACACCCAGGAGAGAGTCCCTGGCAGCTGCTGGAATGAAACGAGTGTCCCCTGAATCGGTTTCATCATCTACACCCAGAGGTCCGAGCCGTGAGCCTGGGAGGGCCGAGAGCCGGAGCATCTCCCAGGACACATAGCCCAAGGCAGGGTTTCATGCTCACAGTCTCAGAAGCCAGCCCGTTGGGCCACCCGAGAAAAGCCTGGCTTATCAGAAGGTGGCATTAAGGAAAAGAGCCACCTTGTGCTCAGATGTGGGCCTCCTGGGGAGGGGTGACTGGGCCCCACACACCCACTGCAGCAGTTCACGCCACCGCGTGACCTTCAGCAGCAGGAACATCATGATCCTCCATCTGTGCCTCCGGCTGCTGTCACCAACTGCTCTGGAGACAGGCTATGGTTGCTCACGGAGTGGCTTTTGCCATGAAGAGACCTCCCTCCTGCCTGGCCCGCCTGCACATTGGCGGTCTTATTTCAGGCCGATGGGTCTGTCCCCGGGCCTTGGTGTGGAAGGCCAGCCCCAGCCCCAAGCCAGGTGGGTCCCACCTTTTTGGGTCCCCGAAGGCTTGGAGCTCCGTGTTGCTAAAGAGCATTACTCTGACACTTGTTAAGACAGCAAAGCGGACTTGATGTAGGACTACTGCAACAGGGAGGAGGACTTCTGCTTGGGGTTTTGCAGTGGGGAAGAGAGATTGGGCTCCACCTCAAATACAGCCTGGAAAACCAGAGATTAATAGCCAAGGGGCAGAGTGGTGGAGGGGGTTGGCGGATGGGGCGTCTCGGAGAGGGTAGGGTGATCCTTCGATGACTGACCTCAGGAAGGCAGGCTAGGGTGATCCGCTGTTACCCCGGGGTTCTTAGAAGCTGAGGTGCTCAGGCATGGAGGGTGAGGGCTTCTGGGCTGAACAGACTCAGCAGGAGTCTCGCGGCAGCTGGCCTGTGCGAGGACGGAGATGGCAGCCCTGGGTCAGGCCTGGCCTTGCGGAGGGCTCCAGAGAGCCTGGCTAAGTCTGGTCGAGGAGAGCCCGTCTGTCAGGATTCCGAGGCTTGCTCCTGGTCCTCGCGCTGCCCTGAGCTCCTCACTGTCCACTCTTGTTTCTCAGGAGTGGTGGCTCTCCTTGTTTCCAGAAACCTGAGTCCTCCTCTTTAGCATCTCCCAGCTCCTTACTCTCGGCTGCTGGATCACCCCTCAGCACCCGCGAAACAGCCTGGGTTCCCTGCAGCGCCCCCCACCGCCCACCCCCGCCACTGGCTCCTGTTGCCAAAGCTGTCGGGGTGCCAGACAGCAACCCTTTGGGGCTGGACGACCCTCCCTGTCTGGCCCTTGTTCTTTGGCCTCTGTACCCTGTATTTCCTGTTCTCTCCATCCTGGGCCAACCAGTCTGACAACTTTGTGGCTCACCCTCCTCCTAGGGATTGAGCTGCCTCATTTGTCTGAGTGGGACCCAGGGAGGTGCTGTGTGTGGGGGGTGTGGGGGTGTGGGGGAACTGTACTCCAGGGCCTTCTGGTGAGAGCCCCGCAGCTCTTCCCCCTTCCTTCCCCGCCCTTCCCATCCCTGCTTCCAGCCAACCACTCATGCTACTGTGCTACTCCTTGTTTTCTCTCTGTCCCTCCTCTCAACCTGGTCAGTCCCCACACTGATGATCTGGTTTGGTGTATCTTCTGCTCCTGGGACAGCTCCTGTCTCAGCAGCCAGCTGCTTAGGAAGGAGGCCGCCTGCTATTGTGAGAAAGAAGGGGGTCTGAAGAGCACCTGTTGGCTGTGGTTTGGGGGCTATCCTCACTCCTGAAGGCTCCAGGCCAGAAGCTGGCCCTGTACCCTCACAGTCTCCTGAGTCCTAGGTGTTTTCCGTGACATACAAGCAACGGTGTAAACGTGGACACATTTGGAGGGGGCGTGTTGACAAGGGAGTCAGGTGGTGGTAGTGGCGGGTTTTCATTCCCAGGGGGCAAGGAGGAGGGAGTGGCATGTACCCAGGTGCCGGGGTGGCTCAGGGCCCCTCTGGGTGAGGGTAGACAGATGACGTAGTGGGGCAGGTGCCAGTTGAGGTGCCACAGGACTGGGTGTGTTGAGGATCAGTGCTTACTTAGGGGTGGGGGCCTGGCCCACTCACGCAGGAAGATGCCTGGAGAGGGGCTGGGCTTGGTCTGATGGAGGGTTCTAGTATTCAGGGCAAGAGCTGCTGAGGGGTTGCGGAGGGCTCGCTGAGAGGGGCAGGGACTTGTTTCCTGGCAGCTGAGGTTTGATGGCTCCGAGTGCCAGCCTGATTCTGCTTGTTGTGAAATCTCATTTGTGCTCTTTAATTGGGGGGCTACTAGTTGAACATTGAGCAGCCATCAGAGAGCATCTTCTGGAACGGGGGAGCCAAACATACACTTTGCCCCTTTGCAGCCTTCTTTCTCTGAGGCCTGGGCAGCCTGTGAGCTTGAGGTCATTAGATCTTTGGGGTGGTAGCCTGGGGGTGGTGGCACTAAGTGGGGGCCTAGTTCTGCTCGGGAGGAAGAGCTCCATTCACGAACCACTCCCTGCCTTCCAGATGGTCTCACCCATACAGCCTGGCCAATCGTGGTGGTACTAGGCATTGTGTCATACCCTTCAGAAGCAGGAGAGACTGGGATGGTTATTATATTGTTCCTTAGGGGGAAAATCACTTGGAGGAAATACATCAGTGCTTCTGAGTGCAGAGTATTGACATGCAGTTAAGGGAGGCTTTTAAACAACATGTGTGTATCCCTTTAGTAAGGAATAAATATACAGACCCATCTCGCCGACTCCATTTTGCAGTTCCCATTTCCCGAAAGGTATATGAATGGGGTTTAGTGGCTAAGGGATCAGGGTTTTGAGCTGGGATTTTGGAGAAACTGTTTTTAGCCTGTACTTGGAGTTGGGCCAGGCCTAGAAATCTGTTGAAATAGCTTTCTTTAGCTGCTAAAATTGGGATGGGTTCTTACCACTAGGATCTTGAGTCTCACCAGCGGCTGGGGAGGGCCCTGAGAAGGGTCCGCGTCTGAGGCCCGGGATGCCGGAGGCTCAGCCTCTCCCCCCACATGTGCACATTGCCTGAAGCTTGGGGTCTTCCAGTCTCCCCAGAGAGTAGACCTGCCCCCAGGGGCCCTCCTTCAAGTGTCCTTTCCGCCTTTGGCAGAATCTGCTCTTGGTCTTCCTGGGAAAACTTCTATTTTGGGATCCAGGGAGGAGTTGTGAGCAGGGACCTCTCTGAGTTGGTCCTCTTTTTTTGATGACAGAGGCTGGCACCCCTTCCCCCACCTCCCCCCACTTCTCCCCCCGTCCTCTGTTCTGGGGAGATACCAGAAGGTGCAGGCGGAGAGCTACAGGTGTGTTTTGTTTTGTTTCATTTTGTTTTGGCTTACAGTCACAAACATGAGGGATTTTAAATGTCAATTTAGGTTTGACTTTTTAATTAAAAAATGTATACATGATAAAAAAAAAAAACTGCCACATAAAGATACACAGTGAAAATTAGCATTTCCATGCCTGACTCCTTCAGTTCTGCTCCCCTGAGGCCTCCATCACCAGCTGCTGGCTGCCTAGTCAAGCGTCTCCTCTCTGTACTCCTCTTGTTTATCCCCTTGCTAGTATACTAATTACTCTGTTCTGTACTTAGTGATTTTTACCCTAAAGCTTATCTTGGGATTGCTCCATGTCAGCCCAGTACAGTCCACTCTCCTGTAACACGTTCTTTTGCTGCGTGGTAAACCGTGATTCACTTTGTCAGCCTCCTATTGATGGACGTTGAGGTTGCTTTCAGTACCAATTCTGTCTCTGGAAGCCAAGCTGCAGGAGTGCCTTGCACATGCTCACAGGTCTGTAGTAGACGGCTGGAAGAGGAGTCCGGGCATTGAGTGCTTAACGAGAAGAGAGGCACGTTGTTTTGATTCCAAGAGGGAGAAGGAAAGTTTCCAAGCTTTTTTTCTGAGGGATCTTGTATTTATTTCTGCAGGCAGAGCCCAGAGCTGGAGGGCACACTGTGGGGTGCTGGTGGTCTGGTTCCCAACACAGTCTGGTTTTGGTTCAGCTCAGGTTAGCCTGTCTCCGCAGAACACCTGTTGTTTGCAGCTTTTGGCTGGGCCCTGTGCATACTCAAAAGTGTGTAAGAGGAGGCAGCCGGAGCCAGGTAAGGTCTGGGGAGGGAGGAGAGGCTTTGCAGATGTGGGTTTGTGCAGGACTTGGGTAGGGGTGTGACCTGGGAGTCTTGGCTGAGAAGCCAGGAGGGGCTCTCGCATCCACTTCCTCCCTCGGTTTCAGGGGTTGGTGTGAGGGTCAGGCCTCCTGTCCTGGCTTCACCAGAGCCTTTGTTGTTTCTGGGATGCCCCCCACCCCCCCCCGCCCCGTTCTGCACTTTAGGCCACTTTGTGTCTGATTGCCACCCTGTGATTTTAAAAAGCCAGTGTGGAAGGCACCTGGTCTAAATAATAGATGGGTTTTCTCAGAGGGCTTCCTTTCAGAGCAGAAGCGGGGTGGGGGGGTGGGGGTGGGGGGTGAGGGCAGCTGAGTTCTTCCTCCAGGGTTGGGCTGGGAGGAGGGAGGGAGGAATGAGAGAGAGGGTGCTTGTGGGAGCCATGGCCTGGCATCCTCTTGGGAGTTCTGGGAGCCCTCCATCCTCCATCCGTTTCCCCATCCCCGTGGCCACTGTGTGCCTCTGAAGTGACCACAGTCTTTCCGTCGGTGGCAGGGCCAGCGGGGAGATTTTCAGGCAGAGGAAAGGGGGCTGCTGCGACCCTGACCGAGAGGGTTTGCTGCCGGTGCCCCTGCCCCCTCTCTCCCACCGTGGCCATCACTGGCTGCCCCCAGGGGAAATCCAGAGCTGCCGTGCCCATGGCACTGCTGCCTGGGGCTTGGGGCTGCCAGTACAGAGGTTCCCATTGTGGCCTGGTGGCCGCGGGGGCTGACCTGTAGGGCCGAGGGGGTGGGGCCTGGGGAGTGACAGTGGGGCTATTCACAGGCCGCCCTGGTTTCCTGCTGCCTCCCATTGTGGGTTCTTTGCGCGGGGCAGGGCCGGGGCCGGGGGTGGGGGGGGGGGGTGGGGGGGGTGGGGGGTGGGGCGCGGCCCGGCTGCTGTTGTCGCTGGCCCCCCCTGCTGGTTGCCTCCTCCCCCCCCAGACGGGGTGGTCACGCCGGGTCAGGTCTCCCACCAGAGTTCTGAGCAGCCGGGCGGGGGGCGGGGGGCGGGGGGCGGAGAGCCGGGCCCCCGCACCGCACCTGCCGGAGCTCTCCTGCGCGGGCGCCCGGGCCCAGGTGCGCCAGGTGCGCCAGGTGCCGTCGGCCCCAGGCCCCGCTGGCCCTGCGCCTGGCGCGGCCCCGTCTCTGCCCGGAGCCTCCACGCCGCCCGAGCCACGGCCATTTTCCTTTGTTCTGCCGCGTCCGCGCTCTGGAACATTCGGCGGCGGCGGCGGCGGGGGCGGGGGTGGGGGGCAGCAGGCAGGGGGGTGCAGCAGGCAGCAGGCTGGGGAGGCATGCGGGGGTGGGGGGGCAGCAGGCAGCAGGGTGGGAGGCAGCAGGCTGGGGGGGGCAGCAGGCTGGGGGAGGCAGGCTGGAGGGCAGCAGGGCAGCAGGGTGGGAAGTCAGCAGGCAGGGGGAGGCAGGCTGGGGGGCAGCAGGGTGGGTTTTTTTTTTTAAGATTTTATTTATTCATGAGACACACACACACAGAGACAGACATAGGGAGAAGCAGGCTCCATGCAGGGAGCCCAACGTGGGACTCCATCCCGGCTCTCCAGGATCAGGCCCTGGGCCAAAGGTGGCACTAAACCGCTGCGCCATCCAGGCTGCCCCAGGGTGGGAAGTCAGCAGGCTGGGGGGGGCAGGCTGGGGGGTCAGCAGGCTCCGGGAGGCAGGCTGAGGCAGGGAGGCAGGCTGAGGCAGGCTGCGCAGGGCAGCAGGCAGCAGGGTGGGAAGTCAGCAGGCTGGGGGGCAGCAGGCAGGAGGCAGGTGCGCAGCACCAGTGGAAGCCCCCAGGACAGGAATCTTCCCACTGAGGCAAAGATAGGCGGTCCCCTGGCTGTACTTGGTTCTCCCAGCTGTACCCCCATCCCCCCAGGAGTGTCAAGATCTGTTTGATTAGAGGTCACCCCCCCTTACTGGATCAGAATCTTGGTGACTTGTACAGTGGGGGCCTGGAGAGATCCCACCTGTTAGTGGCCACAGAGGGGGTGAGAAAGATGAGAGGGCGAGAAAAACACACAGCACCTCTGGAGCGCAGGCCTCCTGGTCTTTGACAGGAAAAGCTCCTCCCAGGCACCCAGTGTGGTCTTCCTTGGCTCTGACCCCCCTCCTCAGTGGAGTCCATGATGAAGTCCTGGGAGGAAGAGCTCCTGGCAGTTAGTGGCACAGGTGGTTGAGAAAGTTTTTCTGTTTTTTTTTTTGGTCCCTGTTTGGTTGTGGGGATTGTTCTCCCAGCTGCCCCTTCATGTCTGCCTGTGTCTCACCTCCCTCAGGTTTTGGTGGGCGTAACAAGAGCTCCCTCCTGGGGGGGCCAATTTCACCCACATGGGGGGTTGCAGGCAATGCTGAGGGCTACTCCCTGGCACTTTTTTCTGGAGTTGTGTCCACCCCAAGCCAGAAGTCTCTTGCTTTGCTTTCTAAACCGCAGCCAGACTCTGAACAGTCACCTGCCTCTGAAGTAGAGTAGTTTTGCATGAGAACGAGTAATTTGCACTATTTTTCTTGTGTTTAGCATTTTATCTTACCCGTCCAAAACCTAGCCATCTTTGAAATCAGCCTGGCTCGTTGCAGGGGAGGAAAAAGAATTTTCCCTCTGCCTTTCTTGGTTCTTGACTGAGAGCTCCTGTAATAAGAGATAGATGAGCCGGAGAAAAACAAGTTGAGCAACAGGTACACCTGCTTCTGTGAGAGAGATCCAGGAGAACTTGAGGAACTCCCTGGAAATGGCCCAAGCCCTCACCTTAAATATGTTTTCCAGCTACAGACACAAGAAAGATGATTGGGGCTGGGAGAGAAGACCTGGAAACAGGATAACATTGTTATGCAGATTTAAGTTGGGCTTTGTCTCTCAAGTTTCTTGTGATTTAGTGTCACCCTCCTCTTCCTGGTGCTGAGAGGAGACACCCTTTCAAGTGGAGACTTCCCTTGTAAATGTAAATTTCCCTTCAGTAACTTCTAAGTAGTTTTCAGAGCTTCTCCCCTGCTTGCTGTTTTTTAAAAATAATGAGATCAAGATAATCTTTATACCAGAGAGGCAGATTTGGGGGTTGCAGATCCTGCTCCCCTCCTCGTTAGCCAGGTCTCACAAATTAGGGAGTGAGTTCCGGCCCTGGACAGGGTTGCAGTTTGGAGTGTTTGTCATTTCGGCACATGCTGTACAAGACGCAGCAAAAAGAGCTAAGTTTCCTTTCAGATGCATTAAAACGCCGGTGCTGCCTTGAAGGTAGTTGGACGCAGAGGGGTTGGAAAAGGTCATGACTGCAGCAGCAGGTGCTCTGGAAAAAGCTCACGGAGGTGCAAGGCTGGGGAAGACAGCTCTGCCACTTGCTCGCTCCGGGTGACCTTGGCAGTTTTTCCATGGGCTTCGGTCTCTGGAAAATGCAAGGGTTGGTTGCACAGATGAACTGCCGAAATTTTTTAGCTGTGACTCTGAGTTCTTTGATTTCTAATTCCAAAGTGATTGGTCACTACCTTGACAGCCCCTCTTGTTAATTCAGGATCTCTTGGGGGAAGAAAGTTTATCAGATGGGATTAACGGAAGGCATTCTTCCTTAGGTTCTTGAGGGGTGGTGGTGATGGTCAGCCTCCGCAGATGTCTGTTGTTTTTTTATATAGAAGCCCACCCACCCCAAGGCCTAACCTGTACTGTCAGTTCTCAAGGCCTGGGTGTGGCCGAGTGAGTCCCCAAGGCCCGCATTCCCTTTTTGAATGGTGGGCTCAGGGGAAGAAAGCAAAAGCTCTGCATTTTACCTTCCCTTAAAGTGAGCCAGGCTGTTTTAAGCAAAAACAGAAACACTGACAGAAAGATACCCTCTGTACATAAATAAATATTCCCTCTCTTCTTCCTGTGGGGGGTTAGGTTTAACTTTTATCTCTAAGATAAAAGTTGTAGATCCCAGAAGCCAGAACCGTCTCTTTCGCTGGTGCCCCTTCAGGATTGGTTTCTGGCCCTTTATCTGCCTTTCCCCACCCAGTCTTCATCCCCTGGGCCTCCTGGGCCTAGCCGCCCCAGTGGCTTTCCTCCCATTGTCTGCCTCGCCAGGATCAGCCTCCGTGTCACTGCTCTAGGCAGTGTGTTCCTGCCAGACGTCACGGGAGGCCTTCTTGGAAGATGCCCAAGAGTCAGGGAGTCCAGCTTCTCCAGTCACTGGGCTACATTAGCCTCCACAGCTGTGAAATGGGAATAAAAATAACCTGTAAGGATCCAGTGGGATGCATTAAAATACCAAAGACCCAAACTGCTCCAGGAAAGCGGATTACACACCCGGAAATCTAATCGCAACCAGGGTGGGTGGACTTTCCTCCCATGACTTGTCCTAAGGCTTTCTCTCAGGTCCTCTCCCTTCAGAGCACTGGCCACAGGCCTGTCCTGGGCAACAATTGGGCGCTGCGTGAGCAGCTTTTGAGCTGCTTTGACATTTTCACAAAATTCCCAGGTGATCTGCATACACTTCAAGTTTGAGAAGCCCTGGCTCAGGCACCTGAGCTAGGCTGCGCCTGCCTGTTGCTCTAACACCTTCCTCAGTCTGTTTTGTGGTTTTGCAGACCTTGCCCTCTTGCCCTCCTGCCCTCCTGAAAGTCGTCGACTTCACTCAGGTCTGGCAGCCCTGACTGACGGCTGTGCAGTTTCCAGCAGCTATCCCTGGGTGCAGGCGGGGGGGGGGGGACCCCGGGGGGGGGACCCCCAGGAAGCCCTTCTGCTGGCAGCTGCGGGCACCTCCTCCAAGCCTGCTGGCGAGGTCATCCTTGGGGCACGGAGCCGAGGGGGTAAGAGGGGGTAATCGGAGCCCTCCTTTGTGAAGGGTGGCAGGGAGCCTCCCTCAGCCATCTGGTGCCACTCGCCCCACCCCATCTGTCCCAGCTGGACGACAGATCAGAATCAGGTTGTAAATGTTGTTTTTTCAATAGAAACACAAAACATTCTCTAGAAGGAGGTTATGGTGTATGTTGAAGTTCAAATGAATAGTTCAGAAAGGACCACACATTTATTTTTGTAGCAGAACAAAGTTTGAGGTCTCCCTTGATAGCACTAGGATCGCCTGCCCACCTTGTTCTGGGGGGGTTTGGGGGCGCCAGTCTGCAGGCTGGAGGAGACGGGGCTCCCTGCACAGCCACGGGGCGGGGGCGGGGGGGGGCTGGCCTTCTGGGACTCTGTTTAGGGACTGAGCTGCTTATCTGACCCCTCTCAGCCTTTTCCAGCAATGTCGCACCACTGATTTGCATTAAAAAAAAAAAAACTACCCTCCCCCCCCATTCCTTTTTTCTTTGTGTTTTCAGGGCGCAAAGTTTTCTTTATTTTTTCCTAGCAGGCTTCATTTTTCTTAGCTTGTTTGGGAAGTTTGTTTTTTTTCTTTGCCCTATGAACCTCCCCCTGCCCCCACCCCGGGCTGTTTGCATTGCTGGGAGGAAGCCAGAAGCCAGGCCCTGCCCAGGCCTCGGGCCTCAGAAGGCTGCGGACCCGAGCAGGATTCCGGGGTGCTCCCAGTGCTGTCCCTGAAGTGAAGTGGGTTGGTTGTCTCAAAACACAGTATTACCGTTAGCAGACTGTGCAATTTTGGGTACAGAGATTTTTGATATTTTGGAACCACAATCTTCAGGCATTTCAGGCATGGAAAGTGGGAGGAAAGGGAGGCAGTGTGTGTAATTCTAAGTCTTACATAGTTTTGTGTGTTGGGGGTGAGCGGGGTGCGTGCAGGGCAAACTCCTGCAGAGAGCACACTGCAGATCTGGGCAGGCCCAACCCTCCCCGGAAGGGGTGGCCAAGACGCAGTCATTGGAGCAGAGCTGACTTCTCCCCACGCGTGGGCCCCCTCATCACCCGGAACGTGTGCTGTTGGGGCCCCAGCAGGGGCAGCTCTGCGGGGGCATCCGCGCCCTGTGTCTCATCCACAAGGCCTGGCCCTGAGCTGGGGCGCCCCCGGGTGGGGTGCTGTGGGTGGGACAGTTGGGGGGGACTCTGCTGAGCTGCAGTGTGGTGTCCCCATGTCAGGGCAAGTTAGCAGCTGTCTGGAGGCGGAGCTCTCACCTCGTTCACCTTTAATCCATCATCGCTGTAGATCATTTCCTGACCAGCTTCCAGCCTCCTCCTCCTTCCTTCCTGCGGGCTCCTGCCCTCCAGCACCTTCGAGACTCCTGGATTCGGGGAGGGAGGTGTGGCCCCAGGCACCGGAGTCAGGCCCGGGTGTCAGGGTGAGTACTCAGTCTCCCCAGCCTCATTCTGGGTGCCTTGCACACAGCAGGTGCCCGGACATGTAGAATCAAGTCTGGGGTGTTTGTCTCCCACAACAAAAGCCTTTGCACTGGGAGGGACTGGCATAGCGGGTTTGCACACTGGAGGATTCCTTGGCACACCTACGGCAGCCTAGGGAGCCCTGCGCCGGGCCCTTAGTTGAGAATTTCAGGGGGGCCTGGGGCGCACCCCGAGCCTCCCGAGGTCTGCACCTCGCAGCGTGTTGGCCTCCTGGGGTCTTGCCCACGTTGGAGATGTCACTGTGAACGGGGTCCAGATGCTCCACGTCGTGTGTACTACCCGCTTCTGGGGGCAGACGTTTCAAGCACTTAGGGCTGATCGGGGCGCCAGGCCCCAAGGCAGCGGGGGCTCCCCGCCGTCCGGCCAGCCCATAGCTTCACCTGCCACCGCAGAGGGGACGGCAGCTGGGAAGACAGGGAGGTGCCGGGCCTCCTTTCCCAGCTTTCTGAGAAGTTGGGGGGCAGCAGCTGTGGGTGACTAAGCCCTGCCTCACCTGGGTGGGCCTGCGCATCTGGATGCTGCCTGGTGAGCTGCTGGGTGAGCTGTGGGATGACTCACCCTCAGGATATCTCCCGGGGCCCCAGGCTGGTTGTTTGACCTAAGGTTGTAGTTCTGTTTGTTGGTGTTTGTTTCTTTGTTTAAGGAAAATGGCCACAAGCTGTACATTTTGATTTGAGGCCACTTATTTTGTAGAATCTCTCTTAATCAGGGCAGACCCAGTGACTTAGCGGTTTACTGCCTGCCTTCTGCCCAGGGCCTGATCCTGGATCGAGTCCCATGTCGGGCTCCCTGCACAGAGCCTGCTTCTCCCTCTGCCTGTGTCTCTGCCTCTCTCTCTCTCTCTCTCTCTGTGTCTCTCATGAATAAATAAATAAAATCTTTAAAAAAAAAAACAACAACTCCCTTAATTGGAATTTCTTAGATTTTTCCTTCGGATTAGATTCATGTTCTGTGCTTTCATCAGGGATACCACAGAAATGTGTCCTCAGTGCATCCCCTCTTGGAGGGACCCGCATTGGCTTGCCTCATTACGGGTGATGGAAACCGTGATGACGTAGTTAATAAGGTGGGCTCTGCTGGGTCTCTCCCCTGCTGAGTTACTTTTATGTTCTCTGTAATTAATAAGTGTCCTATGGGGAGATACTCTGAGACGACATAAACATGCTGTTTCTTATCAAACTTTCATCAACTTGTTTTTAGAACCTGTTCCTGTCTGAAGGTGTCTCCCAGATTCACATGTTGAAATCGAGTGCCCGGTGACTTAGGTCATGAGGGAAGAGCCCTGGTGGATAGGATTAGCACCCTTCAGAGAAACGCCACAGAGCTCTTGCTTCTTCCTCCAGGTGGGGGCCCAGCCGAAGGTCCCAGCTTGGAGCCTGGAAGAGGGCTTGCTCGACCATACTGGGGCCTTGATCTTGGACCTTGGATCCAAGGATCCTTCTGGATCTTGGATCCAGAACTGTGAGAAGGAAATTTCCCTTCTTTATGAGCTACCCACTCTGTGCCACTTTTTTTGTAGCAGCTGTAACGGACCCAAACAGAACCCACTGATGATTCTTTTTTTTTTTTTTTTTAAGATTTATTTATTTATTCATGAGAGACACACACACACACAGAGAGAGGCAGAGACAAAGGCAGAGGGAGAAGTAGGCTCCATGCAGGGAGCCCAATGTGGGACTCGATCCTGGGACTCCAGGACCACGCCCTGGGCCAAAGGCAGGCGCCAAACCACTGAGCCACCCAGGGATCCCCTACTGATGATTCTTGACAGAAGATTCTGGACATTTCTTTCTGTCCTGGTTGCCGAACAGTGATATTTTATTTCCATGAATTCCTTTCTACATTCATCATTTGGCATTCTGCTGTAAAGAACTTTCTCTTCTCCGTTTATGTATCCACGTATTTATGTATATCAAAGTGGACTCACTGATTCTTATTTTACTCAGTGAGTTACAAATCCATTTACTATAATTGATTATTCTGATGCTCAGATTCTTCCAGATTTGGCCAGCAAGGGTCCCTTCACACTGACTGCTGTGAAGGACAGCTCTTAAAAACGTGAATTTCCAGGTCTGTCACAGTTCTATTGAACTAGTCTCTCCGTGTGCAGTTTGGCAAGCGCTCCTTCAGTGATTCTCCTGTTCTTTGGAATTTGGGATCCTCTGGGCCAGACCCCTCATTTTCAAGTGTGTGCCTCATGGAGCCTCCCCTTTTCCTCTCAGACTCCTGAGATGAGTGACCTGCTCTGTCTGTCTTCGTGCTGGGTTTCTGGGTCAGAATTTCTTTGAACAAAAACTCCTATAGCTTACAAAGTAATAAAAATAGTAAGTTTGAAAATCACTGGATGAGGTGACCTCCATTCCAGCCCAGCATGGTTCCCGCTGAGCCCTTGGCTCTCCGCTTCCCTCCTCCGACCCACTTCTCTCCCTCCCTCTGCTTCTTTCCTGGTGACAGCACTAAGGTAGACAAAGGTCTCACCTCTCACTGGATTGACAAGGAGGCCCTTTGGTGCGCCTTAGACTCAGCAGGTTTTGGGTTGTAGGTTTTGGTGGTGGAAACTCCTAATGCTGTGTTTGCTAAAGTTCAGGGTTTCATACAGGAAACCAAGCGTTAGAACCTCAGGCTCATGGGGGAGCATGCTGGGGCTTGGAGCTGGTGGCCTGGGCTTTTCCTGGACATCCACATGGAGGCCATCCCTTGGGCCTCCAGTCTCTGAACACTGGGAACCTTCCTTTTCCCTCACTTGTGTACCAGGAGCAGGGTGCTTGTGACCCCGGGTTAAGGGAGGGTGGCCCACCTTCATCCCCGTGTGGCTTTATAGTGTCTTGCCCTGAGGAAGAATCAAACTTCTGGATACCTCTGCGTGGCTGCTGCCGCCATGTCAGTTCACACTGTTTCTGGCAGACCCTGGCCATGAGGAGTTGGGCCCTCAGGGGAAAGGGCTAGAGCAGGGCATAGATGGGGCTTCTGACTCTGAGCATGACTCAGAGAGCAGTTGAGAACTTGTGGATCTGAGCCCTTCTCATTGTGGGTGGCTGTGCCTTGGGGCTGAGGCCACCTCACTCTTGTGGGCAATGAGCCAGCCCACTCTGGCCTGCCTTTGTGACCCTCTCTCTCACTGGAACCTATTCCCATTCTATAGTTACCCATCCCTTCCTAGACTTGTCACCTGAGGCCTGCCTCTTTCTTTGGCCTGAGAATGTTCCCCAGCACCCAGTGAGCCCTGAGGACTCTCTTTTCTCTTTCTCTTTTAAAAGATTTTATTTATTTATTCATGAGAGACCCAGAGAGAGAGAGAGAGGCAGAGGGAGAAGCGGGTTCCCCGATGTGTGATCCCGGGACCCCAGGATCACACCCTGAGCTGAAGGCAGGCGCTCAACCGCTGAGCCCCCCTGGGCATCCCATCTCGTCTTGGGTGGTAGGGATGTCCAGGGCTTAAGCTGTGTTACCTGGAAGTGCAGCAGGACCCCCAGCTCCCTTGGAATCCGGCTGCCCTTTCCTGGGATGGGCCTGTGATTAGGCCAGATGCTGATGCTGGGGCCTTGCAAGCCATGTGGAAAGGTCGAGCCTTGGTGAATGGCTGACTGGAGAGTGAGTGAGAGAGGAGACAGCAAGGGTACCATGGGGAGTGGGGGTCCCAGCTCAGGTTACAGGTGGACAGTGCTGCTGGGTAGAGCATAGTTCAGCTGGGACCTCTGCTTAGGGTTCTGCGTGGCCCACACCTGGGTGCTGGCAGGGTTGCGTTCCTTTCTGGACGCTCTGGGACTGATCTACTTCCAAGTTCATGCTGGTAGTTGGCATCATTCAGGTCCTGACTGTTGCAGGTGTGAGGTCCTGCTTCCTTGTTGACTGTCAGCCAGGGCTACCCTTAACTCCTGCTCCACGCGTGGCTCCTGGATCTGGGATCCAGCAACAGGGCACTGCATCCTTCTCCTGCTTGGAACCTCTCTACTTCTGCCCTCAGCTGGTGGGAAGCTCTGCTTCTAAGGGCTCACATAAATTACATGGGACCCACTTGGATAATTTCACAGTTTTAAGGTTGATTGATCAGTTATCTTAATTACATCTGCAAGTTTTTTGTTTTTTGCCCTTTCTTTTATATGGTGATAAATTACGCTTCCTGGTTTTTCACTTTGCTCAGTAAAAAGATGGCAACTAAAAGTATTTTGCAGTCTTCCTAGAGATCTGGGTGTAAATGGGTGGATTGGGACACACCTAACTTAACTTTATTATAGAACTCCACAAAAGTTAAAGGGACTTTTTATTTATTTATTTTTGAAGCTTTATTTATTTATTCGAGAGAGAGAAAAAGAGAGAGCCAGTGGGCAGGATAAGGAGCAGAGGGAGAGAGAAAATCCTCAAGCAAACTCCTCTCTGATCAGGGAGCCCGACCGTGGGGTTCAGTCCCAAGACCCTAAGATCACGACCTGAAGCCCAGGGCGCTTAACCGACTGAGCCACCTAGGTGCCCCAAGGTAAAGGGAATTTTTAAAAAGGAATCTGTCTACAAGGACAGGAGGAATGGGAGAAGAAATGACAAGAAAAAATTTGCCAGCCAGGAATAGATGGATGAGTGACCCAGTTTAAAATATGGAAGTTGGTGTCACCACATTGTTATTTTGGGTTTGGGGTGCAGAGAAGCAGCCGACATGGCCAAATGTAAGAATTAGTGGAAAGTAGCTGACATGGTTAGATACTTGGTTTACTTTCTTTCCTCTGTGATGCTTGGTGACACCCTCTCCCCTTTGCTGGACATTGGAGATTTATTCTTTAGAAGGAAACACCAGGGACCTATGAAACTCTAGGGATTTCTGGAGGTGCATATGGAAGACCACATCCCAGCCTTCTACTTCCATTTGGCTTCCAGGGAGGAGAGTCCTCATTGAGGGAACCTGAGTGGCCCAAGAGGAAAGAATTAGTGAAGCCAACAACAAGGATTT